AGATAGATAGATAGATAGATAGATAGATAGATAGATAGATAGATAGATAGATAGAGAGAGAGATAGAGAGATAGATAGATAGACAGACAGATAGATTTTAAAAAAAACAGACGAGGATAAACAGAAACAGACAGACAGAGAAGCAGACACGTACATACAGCTTGAAAGATGAAAGTATGAGCACTTATGATCCTGATTTGAAGCACAGAATTAATTATGCTTTTCACCTAACAGACTTAAGTAAAGGAGCAAAAACAAAATACCTGATCAGACGAGCGCCCTTCAGATGAAGCAGACGAGATTGTGAACTCTCCTCTCTGGAGAGACCGCTTTTCTCTCAGCCGCTTCAAGGTTTGCCTTACCTGTCGAAGTAGGGCCACATGAATGAACGTCTTCCTTTGCTTTGAAAGTCTTAGGCATTTCTTCCCTCTTGAGTAATGTACAAAAAGTCGACGATTGCACTCCGCCACGAGTACATCCGTTAAGCGACAGCATTGCGCAACAACGACCACACGAACTTTCTCCTCTAAACCCTGGTTCTCAACAGGTACGCTGGAGTGACCATCTTTCATAAGCTTTTTAAAGAGCTGTTATGCAGTTTATGACTGTTGCAAAGTACATTATGTAGTTTCTAAAAATCCTGACAAATGCAATATCAAATAATGGTTATTATAGATGGTATATAAAAGGATACGGACGTAAATCTAAACAGGTACGCCAGTTCTTTGATCCACACTGAGAACCTACCTCTGTATTCAAAGCGCAGTGGAACAAGAAGATGAAGAAACCCTGGGAATGGGAATTGAAATCTTACAGTGGGAAATATAATCATAAGGAATGGCTTTAGTTTTAATAAAGAGAAATACATCGACAAAAGGGCAGGGAAACAAGTTAGAAAGACATACAAAAACAACAGAGGAAAAGAAAAGAAGTAGGGGCAGCTTGTGGCTTCCTCAGAGCATCCCCAAAAACTATAACCCAGTATCTAACCCCCCCCCCAAAAAAAAACAACAACAAAAACCCCCCAAAAAATAACCAACAGGTTCATCTACAATACCAACAACAA